AAAAAAAAAAAAAAAAAAATCAGCGGCACAGCTTTGCTACAGATTTGTGTGCAAGGAATTCTTCCACCTAAAAACGAAGTTTTGCGTTCAATGAAACCTTGATATTTGCAGGACTTTGGGTCAGTGTGTGCTAAAGTACAGAGCATTCAGATATTTCTCTGTCAGCAGTCTGATTTTTATGTAATAAAGGTGATATGTTGTAAAGCCTCGTAATAATTTGCATTATACTTTAAAACAGAACTGCTTTTAATGCAGCTAGTTTTGCTTTTTTAGTAATAAGCTTACCCTACTTTGTGTTACAGAAGCCGTTTTAAGGTGAGTGCGCCAACATTTCCATGTATTATACTGATGATTAGCTTAGATTTTTTGTTTGTTTGGTATGTATCTCTCTCTCTCTCTCTCTCTCTCTCTCTCTCTCTCTCTCTCTCTCTCTCTGTATACATGGCGTGTGGCTGCAGGTCAGTACAAATAATTTTAAAAGGTTCTCTTATACATGAATAATCAAAAGAAAAACAGCTGAAACGCTTCGGCCACCTGTGGAACGTTCTTGTCTTGTGATTTCAACAATGCGTCGCAAGAGGGCGGTATAGCAATAAGAAACAAAGTCATAGAGCTTAAAACTCAGACCTACAGTTGCACTTTATACTTTGATTTCTAGAAAATGAATATGATTGATTTAAATGTGTGAGTTTTAGAAATTGAGAAACGATTATATTAGATCACTATTAGGAGTAAAATAAAAAGAGTTGCTACTGTTGCATGAGTCTGGCTTATATATCAGTACTACTGGTTGCTTCTGTCCAAACTACAGTAGGTTTTTCAGTTGCCTCCATAATCAAGAATGGTAAATGATGGTCACTTGATCCTCTCTGAACTAACCCATGCCCTTTCTAATTCATATAATAGTTTTTCCTTCCGCAGCATGACTTCCGCAGCAGTTTTCTTTCCGTTCATTTTCCAGACTGTCCAGGCTCATTAGTCTATTAATGGCAATCATAGCCCAGAGACATTATTTGATGCCCACATCAGGGAGTCAAAGTGAGCTCTCATTATCCCCTCAGCTTTTCAGTGTGCGTCCGTAATTGTAATATCAGGCTGAATTTTCCACAGAGGAAGTCACATTTTAGATATGCAAGTTACAACTGAAAATCAACCCAGAAAGAAACAACAGAGCATTAAACAGGTTATGAGTCACATGTATAGAGGGATCAGTGTATTGAAATCACTGCATTTGGAATTTAGCTGATCCCTAAGTGGTTTTGACATAACTGTAGTAAACTTTTGCTGCTAAAATGGCAAATTAATCTCTTCCTTTCTTTATTTTTGAATCCCCAATACTGAATTTCCCATCAAGCCAAATTATATCCCACAGATTATTTGGGGATGTCTCTTAATTTGACCCCCAACTCAAAAGTCAGTCGTTTTTGAGCTGGGGGTAGAAACAGAGTAGTTTGGTTGTAAACACACGGACAGCTGTAGCCTCTGCTTTCCGTCCCTCAGTTTGCTGTCTGTCAGCATTTTTCCACCCAGCTTCATGCAGGGCAGTAAGTGGATTTGGGGGGAATACAAACCCGAAAATCCACCAACCTTTTTGCACAGCTCCCGTCAACAGCTGAGATTCCTTCTGCCCCCAAAGCAGCTGTCTGCTGTGGCAACAGCTGGGCATTTTGGAGGGAATTAGGGACGTCAATAGGGAAGGTCACTGGAATCCATCCCTGCTTTCAGGAAAATTAACATCCTTGTCAAGATAAGTTAAATATGTCTAACGAGTGTACTTTACATCGAGAGGCTGTAATGTATAGTTAGGGTGCCATATGCTTGTGCATGTTTATGAGTTTCTGTGCCAAGGCCCATGAATACAAAATGTGGAGGCAGTTCAGAGAAACCTAATGAAGCGAGTGTATTTTTTCTTTGCTGAAAGTAACAAACCAGACGTTAATTTCAAGCACTTGTTTAAGTATCGCGCACTGTAAAACAGCATCCAGTCACATAAACATGGTAATCAGGTACAAATTACAGCACGCTTTCCCTGGTGCAAGGGCCATTAGATTTGCTCCATAATGATTACTGTGGGAGATTGCAAGTGGAATATAGCTGGTCGAGAGCTTGAAAGACAGACAAAAAAGGGGGAAAAAGTGTTAAAATAATACCTGTAGTTTTGTATGTGTCTCGGTACCTGGTGCAGTAAGGTCATCGAACCCTCAGGGTCACATCACTCTGCAGGCACACCCAAATGTTTGGCATTTGTCAGTTTACTCAGGGTCAGGTGCCCTGAGTGTGTGCTGGGTGGCGTGCAGCAGCCTGGCCAGTCGCTCAACCAAAGTCACAGCAACTGTTGATCTTTTGGCTGCTTCTTCTGTCAGCTGCCTGTGGCCTGAGTGCTGCAAGAGGGGGCAGGGGGCATCTTGCCAGCCCGAACCCCTGTTTGTCAGGCCTTGGCGAGAGCAGCCGACAGTGGACTGGTACCGCCTGGCACTTATTCGCTCCCCGAGGCAACTTAAATGAGAAAAACACACTGAGTGTATATGTGTGTCTCAGAGAAAAGTATGGGTGGGTGCTAGTTGTTTGTATGTGGTTATATCAAATATATTTTAATAAAAAACATTAAGAAACGGTGCACAAGTATAATATGAACAGAACAGTTTTTATTATAGATATTTAAATACTCAAGGAATGCTTTACTTCAACTATAATTCCATAAGTCTTATCCTGCTTTTTACTCCATGACATTTGCCACATGTTATAAGTTAGTGAGGGAAACAGCTTTATACTTACAGGACACACACATTAAAAAGAGGTATTATTGGATTATTTTGACACTGTTATGTAGCGATGTTCCCCAACCTTTTTCATTTATTACTTATGAATCCTTTCTGTGTTCCAGGTTTCCATTAGCTGTCAGTATTTTAGGACTCTTTTTCTGATTTCTTGAAAAAATATTGAAGACACTTTGTCTGATTTTCAAAAATAAATTCAAATTCATAGACCATTAAACCACAATATTAAAATCACCTATCAGGAGCGCTTCCACATGCCAGGAAAACAGCTTTGATCCACTGGAGTATGGACAGGGACGACTGAGGATGTCCTGTGGTTTCTGGCACCAGTAAGCTGGAAGTTTATCACTTGGGTCCTGCCTGGGTTTTGGGGTGTCAGCCTCTGTGGATCAGGCTTGTTCTGGCATATCATGTTTTGAAGTGAGGCTGGGTTAATGGTTTGGGCACTGTGTGGGGGAGTGAATTGCCCTTCTGGAGGAGGGCGGAGGCTCCGGCCATCAGGGAGTGCTGTTGTGACTGTTTGCAATAATTATGTGTGTGTGTGTGTTAGCATATTACCAAGGACAGACCTGAGGTTTCCCAACAGAGTAAAGCATTGTAACGGTCAGAAAAACTCCTCTTTATGTCAGTGCAAATAAGTTTAGACATATTCTAAAATAAAAAACAAGTGCAATTTCAGGAGTACATCTCAGTTTTTCTACATGAGAAAGAAATGCTGCTTTGGGCCTAAACTGTAAAAAAAAAAAAAAAAAGTTCTACTATCTATTTATGCTGACTGTCCGGCAATTATACAGATGTGTTGATGTCCTCTTTTTGTCTTTGTTTCTAAAAATCACACATTTCTTTATTAGATAATATTATAGAAAACAGGAACCTTCTGCTATTTCATTGTTTATCTATTAGTTATTTACTTTGGTGTGACATGAATGGTTTTAGTTTTATCAGTAGAAAAATTGTAAAACCTTTGAAAATACAGTTAAAAGTCTAAAATTCATGCCCTTCTTCACTTTGACAGCCTTTGGCGGGCTGATTCTGGCCCGGTTCACTACAAATGAAAATATTTTAGATGGATAGTCTGACTAACACCATGAATATCTAATGTGAAATCCTGATATTTCAGTTGAATTTTAATGCAGTTTCTTTGCAGCCATAAGGTCATTTTGTTAACTTTTCTCTACTTATAAACCTTTGTGTACTTTAGCTGAGAAATTGCAAAGAAACGGTGCTTTGCAGAAACAATGTGCTAAGGCTGCTTGAAATTGCCATGGCACAATCATGTCCTTCAATGCCTCAATTCTTTTAATGTGCTAAACAAATTAAGCCAAGCATCCGCTTCAAACCTGTCATCCTGAAAATGTTTTAATTCTCTTTCCTTGGCATCATAAAAAACGAAGGTGACAACGATAATTATTACCTTTCCAAAGACGTCACCACATCATCCCAGTGTCACACATGCAATTTCCACCTCTAGTTTTCACAGTTGTGTTTTTTTCTTTTTCAATTTTGCTGCAAGTCAACAGGGGGCCTGCATTAGTAAGGCCTCAGGGAGCTGTAGAAAAGTTTAATCTGAAGTGTTGAAAATCAGACATGCCCAAACCTCACTGGACCCTTTAAAAGATCCAGACATAAGAGTCTGAGCCAGGGTACCAAAATGGAAAAAACTCCACATGGGCAATAATCACTAACAGAGGCCCAACTCCCCTCCCAGATATCTGCTCCTTATTTCAGTTCCCCTATTCAATTGCAGATAGTTACTAAAGCTGAATTCAGTCTGAGCATTTTCTATTTTCGTGGATTTGAAGTATCAAGACACTTTTCTTTTCACTTGCAAAAATCCCAGTCTGCCATCTTAAGAAACAGGATACTGGGTGCATTCACAAGTGATGGGTTGTGTTATCCAAAGTCCACCCATAAATCCTTGCTAATCCAGGGTGCTTCCTGCGAGCAACACTGTCACTGTATCTGCTGCTCTGGTGATCAGATTTATGACCTTGCACATGGTGTTGCTGTCAAACAGGAAGCATTTGTTGTTGCACTTACTCACTCTCACACACACACAGACGAAAACATGCATAGTAAGCACAGGAGTGATTTCACACGCACTAATCATAAGATCCAGTGGCCCAAAATTAACTCAGTAGGTGAGCTGTATCAGGTTGGACACATGGAGCAAAAATATAAGGGTGTGTAAAGCAGAGAAAAAGCAGAGATTCACAACAAGGAGATGCAAAATTACCCGATGCCATTTCAATACTTTCCCCTCTCTCAGACACAGAGCAGACTGACTTTTAGGTGGCTGTAATTTTTCACAACTTCAAGGCGGCAACTCTTTGTCCACTCTACTGCTTCAGGAGCAGAGGTGGGTTCTTCGTGTCTGCACGCAGCTGGAACCACGTCAATAAAAGACACGGCACATGCACACAAACATAAACTTTACATACAAGCTGCAGCTGAGAGTGGGCACACGAGCACCAACTGGAGAGAGCCATGGTGAGCGGGAAAAGGTGTGAGCAGGAAAAGTGGTGTGTGTGGGTGAGTGTGAATATGCAAGAGTGCGCGTGTGTATTTGTAGAGTTTTTGCAGTTGTGACAGCTGGGATGAAGGAGTGGAGGCGGCCTGTGTGATTGGAGGAGGTGCCAACAGAGCAAGTGTCTCTTTATTTTCATCACAGACAAGTGTGTCTGTGTGTGGATATATGTTCATGGACAGCAGGTACATCTGTGTTTATGTCTGTTAATAGCTATGTTCATGATAATTTGGGCTGTATGTGCAGGACAGGATCTTATTTAATACGAGTGCAGTAAATGTAAACTTGCATCATGTGTTTTGTCGTATTTGTCACTTTCAAGGACGCTCAAGGAAAAGTTTGCACAAGTATAGAGTGCTGTGAAAAAGTATTTGCCATGATTCTGATTGTCCTATTTTATCTTATTTTTTTGCCCATATATCAGATCATCAGATACTTTTACAATTAGACCAGGATAACCAGATTAAATCAAAAATGCAGTTCATAAATGATGATTTCATTTTTCAAGGGAGCAAACTATCCAAACTTACCTGGCCCTGTGTGAAAAAGTGACTGCTCCCTGTTGTTAAATCATGATTTACCTGTGATTAGCTCCATTCTTTTTGAAAAGGTGCATTCAGTTTCACTAGCAGCACTCAGACTTGATTACTGCCAGACCTGTTGAATTAACAAACTGCTTAAATAGAACCTGTTTGAGAAAGTGAAGTAGTCTAAAAGATCTCAAAAAGCAACCCATCTCACATTTCATAAAAATGGCATCGCACTGATAGTCAAGCAGTCAAACATGGTGGTGGTAGTGTGATGGTCTGGGGCTGCTTTGCTGCTTTAGCACCTGGACTGAACTTGCCCAAATGGATGAACCATGAATTCTGCTCTCTACCAAGAATTGTACCTGAAGGAGAATGTCAGGACGTACAGCAGCACAATAAGCTGAAACACACCAGCACGTCTGTCTCTCAATTGGTGACTGAAAAAAAAAGCTAAACAAAATGAAGGTTTTGGTCCGGCCAAGTCAAAGTCTGGACTTAAATCCAATTGAGATGCTTTGGCATGACCTTAAACAGACTGTTGATGCTCAAAATCTCTCCAATGTGGCCGAATTAAAACAATTCTGCAGAGGAGAGTGTGTTTTGCATCATGTGTTTCTACCTGACATAGAGCCAGGTAGGCTTGAATAAAGTTTTTCTCTAAATAAATAAGATCATCATTTAAAAAGTGCATTTTCAATTTTCTCGGGTTATCTTTGTTTAATAAAATGTAGTTGATGGTCTGTGACAAAAATGGAAAAATAAGAAGGAAGGGGGCAAACACTCGTTCACAACACTTTATCTCTAATCTTTAAAAAAACATTTATTCATCCTGTTTCATTTACTAGTTCAATGAGTTCACATTTCTTACTGCCAAAACTTTATTATGGGCTTAAATTGAATGATAAAAAACAATGAATAAATTTTACCCCAAATACTCAAAATAAAACTAATTCACCTCCACTTTATCAGCTGGAGGTAGAACTCTCACGCTGAACATTAAAATGATCTAAAAAAAGAAAAGAAAAGAAAAAAGAAGTCTAATCTATTCTGGTTTTGCATGTTTTGGATATTACACCAGCCTATTAGCCTACTTTGCATGTGATTGTGTGAGTGTGTTGAGTCGGTGAGGTCATTCTATTGCTGCTGCTGTAACGAGTCACAGCAGCTATTTGAGCAAGGCAGGCAGGCAATGATGAGGTCATTCAGCAGGCAGGATTAAGGCCGTGACAACTGGCGCTGCGGCCAGTGCCAGTGCTGACCGGGGCAGTTGTGCCGTGTGCGCGGTGCTGCGATCCCAACTCCACACCAGCATTACCCTTGTGTTGTTTTTTCATTAGCTTGGTGCTGGCCCAGAGTGCTGTGGAGCTTGCCAGACCCACAGCATGAATCTACAGTTGTTGCAAGGCTTTAGGGCCTTCTCACTCCTTCTCTCTCTCTCTGTTTGTCCCTATCTGTGGTCAACACACTGTGACCACAGTCCTAACAGGGAAAATGGATCAGTTTACATACCAAACACACTCGTTAACTCAATTATGTTAGCCTTTAACGCTTTGATGTGTAGTTATAAAACCAGGATTATTAAAAGGACAGATGCCGTCTGACCACAGCAGAGCTTTGTTGTTGCATACCTCCTTAGCTATGGCTGAAAAAAGATGTACAAAACAGAATGGTGAAGGTCAGAGGGATGACCATTTATAACTTGATAGGGTTAAAAGAGATGGAAGATAGGTATGAAGATGGAAGAAGTAGATGAAAGCATTTTTTAAAAATCTTCAAACGTAAGCTTGACGTTTAGAGTGTGAAAACCTAAAATAGCTTTAAATGGATGAAACAGGTTCAAATTCACTTTGCCTAACATCTGTTAAATACAGTAAGGAGTGGCAGGATGTGCTACGCGTGGTTTTAAATTAGCTGATTTAACTCTCCTTTTTTCAATTGAGTTCTGCATTCTGCGTCTCTTGGAAAAATGCAGAAATTACATAAAACTCAGCAGTTACACACTTCATTAGTGTAAACCAATTAGACAAATGTAGCCAAACAAATCCTCCCTTGCTTTTACAGGATTTTCTGTCCTTGTACCCTTACCCTCCTTTGTGTATTCCCCCTCCCCGCTCTTACAAAAGTACTGCCTTTTGACATTTATTCATTTTGAGTGTTCTTGATCCTCTGCAACTGTGGAGATGTGCTCCTCAACCCCAGCTCATCGCCCGAAGGCCCGCTGATGTGTATCTCCCCACTCAGACTCCAGATGTGAACTCACTGGTTGGAGATTTACTGGAGGACTTGACAGAGGAGCTCAGCTGGAAAAATTCACTGTCACAGACCAGCAGTTTGCTGACATAGGCAATGATGGTAAGAAACTGCTGATCTGAACACTTATTCTGGGCTTAATTATTTCACTGCTTTACCTCAACTTTAAACAGACCATCTACGTTTAACAGCTATAAATGAATTAAAACCGCCATGGTCTAAAAACAGTAAACATCCACTCCCACTAGGTGGCAATAAAGTTGCAGACTGACATTACAGAGGAGAGAAAAACACCTGTGGGACTACAGCATCTCACTTCACACTCTCTCCCTGCTGTCCTGTTATTCTCCCGTCTCTTTTGGAACACGTTATGTTGCCGTTTAGAAAACAAAGAATCGAGCACCCTATTAACAGCTAAATCCATTTATTGTCTCCATTAACAACACAAAGAAAACGAGAATGGACTAGACAATTCAGTTTTGCTGGTTTTTGCAGTCATTTTTTTAAAATTAGATTCAAATGTTTTAGAAACACAAATTTATTCTCATTATGTGACAATTGTTAGTTGTTATAGTAGTTGTTATGACAGGAGTGACAATTATATTTTAATTTGTATTTAAAGAAAGTAAAGAAGCATTAACCAATAAAAGATAAGTTACAGCTGAAGCTGCCTGAACTGATACAAATCATATTCTGCTGTTAGCTTTTTCTGTTTCTACTTTTTTTCCCATAATATTAAAACTACAAAAAGACACAATTAGGACAAGCTCACAAAAGGTTTAACTTTATTATTTTTGATGTTAATGCATTTAATAATTAAAACCATAAACATACTGAAGGCAGATTACCAAACACAATAAAACTATTACAGCTGAAGACAGAAATTACAAAATGTTAATTAACAAGTGACAAAGAGAAATATTCTACTATAATAAAATATAAAAACGATTTTGTCGCCATCGTTACACCAAACAAATTATTATAAATTATGCTCTATGCTCACATTGGAAAGCAGTGAAAGTCCTCAGGAGATAAGGTTTTTCCTGGCCTGGACGTTGTTGCTTGACAGATACAAGATTAACAAACAATGGCAATGATTTTTCATGACCTTTTCACCTTGTTGGTTTAAGTTCCTGTTCTTAATCTACAGCCAAGAACAACAAAAACAGTGTTTGATGTTGTTAGTGAGGTCTCTGTCTCTGTCTCTGCCTGGAAGTCCCCGTCCTAAATATGACCAAATGGTGTCTTTAATCTGCAGTGTGCATGCACTTCATTTTAGAGCAGACTAAACCCAGAAGCCTGACCTTGGAAGTTCTCCACCACATGAATTGACTGCCATATTTAATGTGAATGTATGGGCAATAAAATAACAGTAAAACAAATAAATAAATCAGTGTCAGAAATAAAATAAAGCGGAGCCTATAAATCAAAAGACTTGTTAGCCCCCTGAGTGTAATTGAATGGGATCGGGGACGATGCGGTTTGCCTGTGTCCGCAGTGTTTACTCACATCTCGTACGGACGGGGAAAAAGTAACAAAAGAAGAAAGGGATGATGTCAAAAGAAAATAAAGTGGGTGCTGAGACAAGAGAGAAAGAGATGGAGAATGGAGCAGACAGAAAAAGAAGAATAAAAAAAAGACGGGACGAGGAGAGACGAGCCTGGAATCAATAATCGAGTTTCTCTCGTCAGGCTGAGGACAGGAGAGTGAGAGAGAGGCGCCTGAGGACAACAAACCGCATCCTTCCTTCCTGAGAGGCAACACGGGGACAGGAAGGGCCACCAGGGGAGGTCACTTGGCCAGCGAATCACTTCCTGTCAGGGTCACCAGGCATCGGGGGATAAGTACATCCGGGTCACTAGAGGAGACACCTGCGTCTGATTGTCTGCCTCTGCATTTGAAGCCCCCACCACCCGTAGATGGAAACCTCAATGACAGCCAGGTGGGGAGTAGAGGCAGGGAGAGGGGGGATGGGTGCTGGATCTAGAGAGGATAGCAGGAAATGGAAGAAGTCAGTGTTTGAGCAGGGAGATGGCATAATTTTTGTCTTTGTGTCCACCCTCCACCAGCTGGAAGTCTGGAGCACAAATGAGGGTAGGAGTGAGGTAGAAACATTGGCAACAATCCAACGTGTCCATCTGACAAAAAAACAACTAATTGTGTTCCTCATTTAAACAAAGAAAAATGAGAAAAATGGCAGCGTGGCAAGCTGGCAGCGGTACTGTATGTTATTGTGTGGTTATACAGTATTTGTACATTAGAATATGAGCAATCTACTGCAGTTTGGTAGCATCCATCTCATCTTTTCAATCTGAATTTCATTTGTTTTGTGCAGCTTTTAGATCTGCTTTGACACCAGCTTACTCGATGTATATATTGTTTACTTATGACCTTCAAAAGTGCAACTTTAAAACAAAAAACAAAAAATGCAGGTATCAAAATTACAATTCAAGCATCGTGTGTTCACATAAATGTTAAAACAACGGGAATGTATATTAAAATAATATGGACTGGATGCTGAGGGCTGCAAAGCTGGAGAAACTTTGCCACTGGGAGTGAGAATATATATATAAATGTGTGTGTGTACTGTGTGTTTGACAGTGTGCCAAGCTGACCAAAAAGTGCTGGCAATTTCCTTGAAATGCAGAGATTCACCACGCTCCCTAGGGGGAGACCAAATAAACTTCAGATGTGCAGCAGGATCTGTCCCCCCACTCTGTCTCCAGACTCCAAAGACTACAGAAACACATGGAAGTGAAGAAGAAGAGAGGGATAAGAGGACAAGGAAGGCACAAGGGAGGTAGAGAGGAAAAGAGAGATTTCTGCTATTCTCATTTAAAAAAAACCCAAAACTCTTTCTCTGTAAGCTGTCATCGTCGTCAGCTCTGGGGAGGTTTGCAGATGTTTATCATGTACAGGGGGGAAAGAAATAGAAATCATAAATTGTTCCACGATGCATCCAGGGTCACAAGTTCAGACCCATAAAATACACGAATAACCCTGCAAAGTGTAATTATGGAAGTAAACCTCCACGTTGAAGGCCACAAGATTTAACCTCACAAATCCATCTACATCATTGTGGCTGGAGATGGCTCTGTGATGTATGGACGTGCATGCGCATTCGAACATGCTGTAAGCACAAAACAGAGACCGAGTTTAAGATGAACACATAGCAAATTGCTCTGGAGTGAATAAGGTTTTTCCATTTATGGAACAAGCTGTGTGAAACTCACAGCCAGCCCTGTTATTTCTAATCTCAATCACATGATCAAAGACTCTTCACTGCTTCAACCTAATTTTCTGGAATGAAAATGTGTAAATTAAGACCATTTTTTAAAAGTACCTGATTTAGAAATTACACTGTTTTGAGGAAACTTTCCAGCAGTTAAGGACCATTTTCCTTCATTTTAAAAAGGTGTCTCTGTTACACCCACTTTCCATCCATAATGTGGGTTTTTTAACGACCCCGTACCACACACATGGATGCATAAATAAGCCTGTGACACCCCACCCCTTCCTAAGAGCCCTGTGGCAATATGTGCGTGTCAACACACCTTGGCGGGTAAACAAATACACATTTCAGCAGGGTGTTTACCTGTTTACCAAGTGACCATTATGCTACCCCCACCCTGTGAGAGTAATCTGACTGCATGGCTTAATAATTGTAGTTTTTTTTAAAATGACCTTTGTATAAAAATGTAACTTTGTGCTTTCTCTTTTTATCTGTGTGTAAAAAATCTAAACCTAACCAAAATATTTTATAGCACTCATGGACAAGGTGATCTCTCTCAAACAAGGTGGCGATGGACCCACGAACCGTATTAAACAACCTGCTCTACCTCCTGAGCCACAGCAGTGCTTGAAGGAACCAGGGGCATTTCTGGTAACATTAAGGATTAAATGATAAAGAAAAACATGTTGCAGTTACATTGTCAAATGTGCAAATGGCTATATTCTGCATACTAACATAAAGTGCTGGGTGGCTGCTGGCAAAAGTGTGTTCCAAGAGAGAGGAAATCACTCCAAGACACAGTATATATATATATATATAGAAGAATAGCGTGGAAAAGACATATGGATCATCATCTGTTGATAAAATCACTATATTATTAGAACATGAAACTGGGAGTCTGTTATGTGTAATGCCACCTATCCTAACAGTGGCCAGAAATATGCTGAGCAGCGTCCTAATTTATTCCACATTTTAGGACCATTACTGCTGAATTAGCAGACTGAATTGTAAGCAGTGTAATAAGTTACAAAACAAGATGTTATTGTCGTCACATTATGTTTTTCTGTAATGTGATTACAGAAAAATGCCATGCAAACTGCGCTAAATTAGGTGCAGTAACAACAACAGAGGATGTAGACGACACTATAGCTCATCCGGCTCATTGCAGTTTACAGATAACTGTAATGTATGAAGTAGATAAATACTTCATACATTGTTATATTGCACACACATGAGAAATGAAGCTGAGAAATCAACACGACTGTCATATCAATCTGAATTTTGCTTCACGCCCTTCTTACAGTAAAGATGTTTAAAGATCTGGTGAGATCATTACAGTTTAACTTGTCTGTGTGCAAGTGTTTTATGTGAGTGAGTTTTAATGTTGTTAATTGAGTATGATGTGTGTTTCTGTGTATCAGTGTTGCTCCCTTCTTGGCCAGGTGTCCCTTGTTAATGAAATCTTAGATCTCAATGGTAATAACCTGGTTAAATACAGGTTAAATGAAAAAAAAAAATGGCACAGATGAATTAATCTAGCTCATCTCCAAATGGCTTCAGGGCTAGAAAACCATGAAAATATAGGAATGTATCAGCATTTCATATCTCTGACTATATTGGTAGCAAGGCTCCATTCAAGCCTTTCTAATGTTGGCGTCAACTAATAGGACGACTCTCTCCATGATAGTAACAAACAGGACGTTATCTTCATCTAACAGGATACAATGCTGTGCAAGGGGAAAAAAATCTAATTTAACATTGAGAATATTAAGTTAATGACTTTGCTAAATGGTTTAAAATGAATATTATTTAGTAGCTATGTCAGGAGGATGAAGGTTATAATTAGGAAACAATAGAAAAATGCCCATAAAAGGGAAACTGTGACCTTGAGCACAGTTTCGGTGAACCAATTAGGTGATCATTATGTGCAGTAAAATCTGATCAATACTCTTAAAGGAACTCCTTTGAACTGAAAAAGACAGATAACGGTTGCCTTGCTATTGTATATGCTCATTGATTGTTTGGCTGTATGATTTAAGTCATCAAACATGCTTTTTTGGGGAGAGGGTTTCAAACACACTTGTGTTATTTTGGTTTTTGTGCAGGGAGGAGAAAAGTAGTGTCCAAAACTATTGGAGCTATGGACATAGTTTTATGTTTATTGCTCAAAAGATTAAAAACATAACCGCAAAGTGCAAACAGTGTCCAGGCCAAAACCAACTCTTGATAGCACTAGATTGATTCTTTGCAAGCATATGCACAGGCAGGATCATAACACAAAGAAAAGGAAACACGTTAGGCTTGTAGCATTCTAGCCTCCACTTTTACCAGTGTTTGTTTTCTACAGCAGAACTGCCGTGGTGATAGCTGTCAAGGGATCTTTGGTCTGGTTTTCAGGCCTGCTGTCAGCTATGTGTTAAAACTTAAAACAGAACAATTCTCTGTGTGTGTCCTCATTAGGATAGGCATTTGTGCTAGTGTGTGAAACTGTAGCCTAAGGTTTATCTTGTTACCTGGTAATTATCTGACAGAGCATCTCAGGTCATGTTATGAGTTAATGCAAAAGCAATGCAATTAGTATTTTCTTCAAAGAGCATTTCATTAATGCATCAGTTTAAAAAAAAATAAAATAAAATAATGTTTTTGTTTAATACATTACCTTTTGAGTAATAACACCCAGTAGCGATTGTAGATTTCCAGATAAACGATAGCATATATGTGCACTGATTGATTCGGAGCTCCAGAGTCAGGCTAATTTTTTTTTCTTACAAAAGTAGCATCTTCTTGTCTTTGCACCTTAAAAAAGTTTTTGACACAGAGCGTATGAAGAACATATTTTCCATTTCATGTTTATTTTCATGTGTTTAAGTCTTATTTAAAAATGCGTCATCAAAGTAAATTTATTTCCAGGAAATAATGTCACACTGCTCTGTGTTCACAAGCTCAGCTGCTGCCAACCCTTTTGGCAATTTGATCATCCTCCTGCATTCCAAGCTTTTGGCGAAAAATATGCATAAATTCAGTAAATCAAACTTGGCTTTGGACTTATTATAAAATGTAATTACTGTAAACATTCTCAAATCTTGTGCACTAGTCTCAGCTACGTGAGACTAAACAGATTCCCCGAAAATCCCAAAACCAACTTACAAAACCACAGCCACACCTCAGCTCCACTGCCGCTACCTTTATTTTCATTTGGGACTTTTTCTGTTTAAGTAATCATCATTTAACAACTCTGTGAGCTCCAGCAATGCCAAGGACTGTTGCTAGATATGAGCCTGCAATGGATGTGGGTTTACTTGTGCCATACCCAGACTACTGGGCTCATAGTGGGGAAGTATCTGTTTACCCGGGTCTCCCCTGCTCATTCTTACTCTGGAAGGGTGCCTGTAAAGCCAAAGTGGGGGTACGGGTGGCGGAGTATATGTTTCCATTACGAATATTGCGCCCCTGAAACACTAGAAGACTCATTTTGAGGATCCAATTTTATTAAATCAACTGTGTGACAACATTGGGCTGTTACCCCAACATGAGCAGGTACGGTGGGTGTGAGGTGTGCAGACAAAGTGCTCTTTGAGTGCTGTGGTCAGGCGTTTTGCCAGACACCTTTCCACACCTAGCACTTGGGGAGCCTTACTGAGAGTATGAGCTGAGCCTGTCATTGCCTTTACCATTATTGCACTCAACACATGGCCAAGAGGCTCTGATAGGTGCAACACTGTTGCTACTTGGGACCTGTGTGAATGTGTGT